GACTCGGATCCCCATCATTGAACAAACCTCCCACGGCAATTACAAGCGCCAACTCCCTCCTAACATGAGTCGTGTCCACCCTGTCTTCCACGTAGAATACCTAAAAGAATACCATGAATCCCCACCCCAATTCGCTGACCGTCCATATCCTAGACCTCCACCAATCATGTTACCCACATGCCCTAAATTCGTCGTTGAAGCCATCATAGGACGAAGAACTACTCAAGTATCAGACCATCCGGAACCAATCACATAATACAAAGTTAAATGGACTGGATACCCTGACGAAGAATCCACTTGGGAACCTCTTCCTAACCTTAAGAATGCTATGAAACTTGTTTGCGCCTATGATCGTGCTCACCCTATATCCTAGATACATAATATAACTTAAACCCTAAACCCTTGCATAAACCCCGCCTCGACCCCGCCAAAACCGCACATTCCTGCTCTACACACACCCCTGTACCCAGCGAAGCCCTTGCCTCGTGAACCCCCCCCTGTCTGATCCGCTCTTCCCCCGTTCTCCCATCTGTCCTCCGCCACATCCTTGTCTCTCTTGTCCAAATTCTCTTTGTGGCCCCTGCGCGTCGCCGGCGATAATGGATGTAATGGCAAGCGCACAAGGATGATGGCATGCTGCAGCTCAGTACGAGGAGATAAGACAGCTGGTTGGCCACCATGCTGTTCCCTTTGGCCGGCACCTTGGACTCGCAGACTTCTGGAGCAGCACCTCTGACATGGACATCAAGATCAGTCTGCGACCTGCTATCCGGATCAGACCTCATCATCAGATTGTGTACTGGACGCAACCTGCTACTGCGACAATCAAGCTGAAGTCCTCGCCGTCTACATCACGGAACTGCTGAAGACTGTTTCCTCACTGCCACTTCTGCGACACCCTCCAAGACCTTCCTCAAGACATTTCTTCGCTTTTGACACTTTGTTACAGACCTGAGACGTTGTTTTCCCAGACCCCTCAGACACCCCAGCACTCGAGCATTGAACAAACAATTTTTTTATTTTTATTTCCTTCTCAAACCTGACAACCTACAACCTTGTAGAACACCAATAGGACCTCCCTGTTACCTGTAGAACCTCAGTAAGATTACCCTGTTACTTGAGCATTGATTCCCTCGTCCCTGTAGAACAAAAAACAAGAAAAAAAGCATAAAATCAGCACAATATGACAGTTTCAGTGCAATTCGGTGCAAAATTCGTCGAAAATAACACCCCTGGTTAACTGTGAGGTGCAGAAAACCCAAAAACAATTTCCCCCCCCCCCCCCCCCCCCCCCCCCCCCCAAAAAAAAAAAAAAAAAAAAAGAAAAGAACTTCGGAGAATAAGATTGCGAGGTAAAGTCTCGGCCAAAAGTTGCTCAAAATGAGTTTTTAGTACTTTTTACTACCAAGTTTTTTTATCATATAATTGTGAGAATTTCTGACATATTAGTTTATTTTGGAATGTTTTTAAGTGTTGGTTTTTGCATTTTGTTATGATCCTGGCCAATTTCGTAGTACACATTCATGAGAAAGTACAATGCTGTCCAATTGCAAAAAGAAATGAATGAACTTGAGAGGAGAGAGAGGGAACGAAGAAGAAGAAGAAGAAGAAGAAGAAGCAGAAGAAGAAGAAGAAGAAGAAGAAGAAGAAGAAGAAGAAGAAGAAGAAGAAGAAGAAGAAGAAGAAGAAGAAGAAAGAAAGAAGAAGAAGAAGTTGTACACCAGCATAGACCAATAATAATTCCCTTCTTCTTCGCCAACCACTCTCCTCCTCCTTATCTCCTCCTCTGCTATTCAAACAAGAAATAATAACAATAATAATAATGTTGAATCGCTGAACCAGAATCAATGTCCAAATCCCTCTTCTACTGCAGGTATCACATGAGGTCCACCACAGCCACGGCCACCCTTCTCCTTCTTCCTCCAAGGCCGAGGCTATGGCGGACTACCAGGGCATTGCCCTGCTGTGCAAAGGACAACACAAAGCAGCTATGGCTGCTCCTCTTCAGGCCGCCATGCCTGACTCTGCCTCGAAGCTTCTTGGTGCAGCTCTACCCCAGCGGGCCCTTCCAGATGCAGCGTCCACCAAGGTGATGAAGATGGTGTCCACCATAGCCAAATAAGTACCTCTGGCTTCCCCCTTCCTAGTCCTTGCCTTCCTACTCCTCCTGTCCTTGCTCCTTCCCCAGCAGCGCTGCTCTATGCTAGTGCTGCTCCAGCCAGCGCTCCAACCAGTGTGTTGCCAAACTTGCACACCGACAATGAGGAGGAGCACTTCGCTCTTCCTGGAGATATAGCGGCCTGCTTGCCTCTTGGCGAGTGACTTCCTAGGCCGCACGGCCTCCAAGCAACCAGTACCTCCTCCCATCCGGAGGGAAACATCATTGCAGACTCTGATATTGCCCGTACAGGCCCTAGACTCAGACTGGTTGGACTGGTACCTGCCTAGACCTAGCCTATGACTACTGGGCCTCTAAAAATGCCAACTTTGTCTTCTTCTGCTCGGCCTCGAGTACCCGGCACATCTATCTCTTCCTAGTGTGGTACAGGCCTACCAGCTACTTGAGCGTTTTTGTGCTGCTCCAAGTATCACGGGCCTATTTCCCCGCCACTTGAGTGTTTTCCCCGCTGCAACTGTGACGGGGCTGAGGCAGAGCAGCGAGGTCGGGGAAGAGAGAGGGAGGGAGTGAGAGCACACACACACACACTCACTCACTCAACTCGACACGGACTCGACACGACTCGACGGACACGGACACAAAGTGGCAAAGTCGCGATGTCGCAAAGTTGCAATCTTGGTTCCGTACACAATGTCGCAGCAAGTCACACTGAAGCACAAGCACTGAGGCCGAAAACTGAGTCCCCGAACTCAGCTTGAGTCCGGTCTTAAGTACCGGACTCAAGTTGAGTCCGACGGCAAAAGTGCAATTTGCCTCGGGGCTGAACTGAAAATTGAAGGTCTGAGCCTGGGCGCCAGAATGCCGGATGGTGCCAAGTACGAAATCCGAAAGTGGCAGAGGCGGGATTTGAGAACGGGTGGGCGCCAACAGTCAGGAACTGGAGATCAGAGGCTCCAAAAAAAAAAGAATAGCAGCCTGGCAGGTGGTAACCCGCGGACCAGGGATCGAGCCCTGGCTGGGTCCGTAACACTATCCCCTCCCTCTGGAAGGCAACGTCCCGGCTGCCAAAGACCCAATGAACAACTGTGCAGGACGGGACGGGGCCGATCACTGCTCAGAAAAGGAAAGGGGGAGTAATGCAAATAGCAGGGTAATCCTATGGGGGTTCTACAGGGATGAGGGAATCACACAGAAGTGCCACGTGGCACTACTCTCCGAAGGAGACAATGAAGACAACCAGCATCTCGCAATATCGACGTCAGCCTGAGGTAAGTATCCCATTCCCGATTATCCACAGATCCCGATCTTCCTCCTCAATGCAACCAGTCACCTCATGTAGACAGCATCGCCAATGCCACGTAAGCAGTAGAGACAGGTGGCAGCACCACATCAGCAATGCAATGTAGATCAGAGGCAGCGCCACATCAGTATGCAACGTAGACAGATGGCCACGCCACATCAGCAATGTAGATAAGTGGCCTGCGCCATATCAGCCTTGAAGACAGGTGGCAGCGCCACCTCAGCAATGCCTGGCGCACAATGCAGAACGTGCCAGCATGGCGTCACAGTCCGCATCGTCGTCCACAGTGCCTGCGCACAGCCAGCGTCAAGCCAGCGTCTTGCCAGCGTCGTGCCAACCTCAATGCCAGCGTCTGGTCGAAGTTGAGCCTGCGTCCAAGCAGCATAGCAAGACTGAATGTTGACCACCTCGAGGTCAGTCCATTTGTAGTGTTTGACGAGGCTGTCTGGCCTCGAGTCCCCTCCTCACAGTCGTTCAGATTGAATCACAGCCAAGGGCCTGGATTGTGTACAGTTGCATACTTCCCTTTGGACCTGATGCTGTCTGGGTACCTGCATACAAAGAAATGTGTGTGTCTGACCGGCGGCCTGGGCTGGGTACACTTTGACTTTGACTGTTGGTGTCTCCGACAGTTGACTTTTGTCAACTGTACCTCGCTCAGGCCCTGAATTTTTAAGTGGGGTCTTTTCCCCGTTTTGGCCTGGGCCTGGGTGTGGCCTGGCGAGGCCCTCAGTATCCACGGAGCATACAACATGGGTTATTGCAGATTACTTGAATTTAGTTCTTTAATGTGATCTCCATTCCTTTATTGGGCTTGTTCATTGAGCAGTGCTTGGCAGAAGGGGGATGCTGTTGCACCAGCGACATTCTGTATAAACTTATAAAGTCTATGAGATGTATTCTCTGAGAAATTAAAGGCTTTACATCTTTGAATCTGGGTATTGTCTTTTTCTCTTGTTTTTGTTGTTGGAATTGGAATTTTTTTGTTTTTAAGTTGTAGGCTTTTAGCTAGCAAATTCGAAGTCCATGTTAGAATTACACAGAATCCGATACTGTTGACACTCATTCACACTGACTGACAGCATACAAGTAACCACTATGTGCTTGATTGGAAACAGAAACTCAGTCTGTATCGTTCTTGTTTTAACTGATGTCCCGAAGGATGACCTGCATAACTCCTTTGAAATGTGTGTGCCTAAAGGACCGTGAATATGTGGAGGTACTTCCAATAAGAGCACCACCTTCACGGGATGTCCATGCTGTCTCTATTTGTGTGAAACGGTGTCAGTGTTTCAGATTAGTGTTTTGCTTTCGACTTTGTCCTGAATGAAGAAAGATTGAGTTTGACCTTAATCCACCACCCATCACTCGATTAAACTCGATTTGCATGTGTGCCTGAAAGTGTTGCGACAGCCTTCACTGGATGTCCTTCCTTGTATATTTGTGCGAAAAGGTGTCAGTGTTTAAAATTAGTTTTTTGCTTTGTGCATCGCTTTGATTTTGTGCTGCCTGGAGAAAGATCGAGTTTGACCCTCTAACCAAACGCCCGTCCGTTGTTTTGAACATGTGCCTGAAGGGGCGCGAGTATGTGGAGGTACTAACAGAGTGCCCCATTACTAATCCAATGGAGAACCAGTGCGGTTATGAATATCAACGTCACCCCAAATCGGTAAAGCGGGATGTCCTGGATTGTAGTTCCCCTATGGTCATGTCTGGCCCTGGTTCTGGGCGAGCGAGAGCAGAGCTTGGCTCCATAGTAATCCGAATGGTCAATATTGGCCTCCGGCAATCGATAACAAAGCGAATTGACGAAACGGTGGAGGGGCGAAGTGGTGACGAAAATGACAATCCGGGTGCTCGAAGTGACCAAGGAGGAGTCGCAGGAGGAGATCAAAAACCACAAAATGTCGTTGACCTCGGCTATAAGCGAGCAAAACGGAACACAAAGGCACGGGTGCGCAGGGTTCTTCCAGCACCGGAGAGTGGATCGTTCTTGATGGAGGAATTGGGACTCTTGAAGAGGGCAAGGAAAAAACGAAACAAGCGTATAGGCATGCCAATCGATGGAGATGTGAATGCCACATCAGGGGATGGCTATCATGAGGCCAAGGACAGCCTACTACTCGATGGTGCACAGCAAGTTGGCAATTGGAGAGGGGTTTTGGAGAATGCGGAAAGACGGAAGTTGGCCAGGTTGATGAGGCTACAACAGCTGATGCAAGAGGAGGAATGGGAGTCCAGAGCAGAGGGGTGGGAAAAGGGTGAAGAAAGGGGGCAGAAAATGGGGTTGGGGTCAAACAAGGGGAGGGGCCACCTGGAGGATGATCGAGATCTACGTGAACAAATGCTAAAAGATATAGAGCATGCAAGGTTCAGAAGGAAGAGAGAGCTTATACTACTGCAGCTGCGCCAGAATATCGCAAATCGAAAGGTCAGTGAGTTTTTGGCTGAATTGCTTTGTATTCCTTTGTGAGCAAACCGAAATCCCTTGAGGGACTTGCTTTTGATCCTATCATCATCAGCATTAGGAAGCAGAGATGTCATCCAGTTTGCTTGTTCAGAGGCGGGGCCATTCTTGAGAGACGGTAAAGTGCATCCCATAACTGGAAATCAGAGCAAGCAGGCATAGCTCTGTGGGGAATCCTTAAACCACCAGTACTTTTCACCGTTTCGATTGCCGAGCCTGGAAATGCCCTCCACGGCGTCCGCGCGAAAAGAAAAAAAAGAACTGGCACGGCCCTTCCTTTGGCTTGCATCGCCAGTCATTTTGCTCCGCTCGGCTGACCCCCAAAACTTGCTTGTGCATGCGGCCGGGTCGGAGGAAAAATAGCAGGGAAATGCACTGGTGGTTCAAGAGAAATTCCCTGCATGGGGAGTATCCAGTTGTATGAAGAGCAGGGTTGCAAGTCCACCTGCAACATTTATTTATTTATTATTATTTACTTTTTTTCATTATCGGGGGTTAGACCCTAACTTTATTGTGTTCATTTGATTCCATTGGGTCCGAACCCATGTCACGCAAACCGGCTCACACCTGTGCGCATCCTCTAGCCCTCTATGATGCCGTCTTCAGGCTCTGTCGCCTTGTTGAGCCCTCCATTGGCGAAGCCAGGTGGGTTCCTCCACCAGCCCTGACCCCCTCCGTCCCTCCCTCCAGTTCACCACCTCCTCCTCAATGAATCAGTCAGTTGGGACAAACGAATCGGGGCAAGGAACACTCCTCTTCCCCTTTCTTCCCTTCCTCCTCTTCCTCTTCGTCCTCCTCCTCCGCTTCCCACCCACCCACCCACCTGCCACATGGGAAAAAAAGAGTGATTCGCCACGTTCACCTAAGGGAAAAAAGAAGCAAGAAACGAGGAGAAGGTGATGAGGGGGATAGGAGGAGGAAGAGGCGACGACAAGAGGTGGAGGAGGAAAAGAGGAGGAGGCAACATGTGGAGAGGAGGAGCGAGGAGGAGGAGGGGATGAGGAGCACCAGAGGAGGAGAAGACCATGAAAGAAGAGGAGGACGACAAGGAGGAGGCGGTGAAGAGGAGGGGGAGTAGGTGACGAGGAGGAGAGGAGGAGGTGGGGGATGAGAGGTGGAGAACGATGAGGAGAGGAGGAGAGGAGGAGAGGAGGAGAGGAGGAGGTGAGGAGGTGATGCCTTTGCGTAAAAAAAACGAAAGCAGAGGTAAAAAGAGGTTGAAGGAGGGGAGGGCGAGGAGACGACGAGGATGAAGGGGAAGAGAGAAGGAGGAGGAGGAGAAGAGGAGCAGGAGGAAGAGAAGGAGGAGGCTGGGAGGGAGTCAGGGGCTGGTGGACGCACCTGGCTTTGGTGATGTAGGGCTTTGGAAATGGAGGGCCTAGCCGCCTAGGGAATGGAGGGCTCTCAACTTGGAGGGGTGGAGGGCTTCAAGCGACAGTTGATTGATGGGGTGGTCCAAAGTGCCATGGTACCAGGGGCAGCAGCAGCAGCTCAATCCAACTGTGGCTAGGTAAAAACAATTTTCTGGGGCCCAAACGGATTTTCCTAGGGAATCCAGACGACCTACCATGCAGGCCTGCAACCTCCTCTCTTTTTGCTAGGGGCCTATTTCTCCTGTGGGCCACTCATGCCATGCACCCCACAGGCAGGATCGATTGCATGGCATACGCTTGCAAGTACGGTGTTAACCATTTGGGCACATGGGCTGGTCTACACCTCCAAAAGTTATTTTCATTTTGTTTTCATTCTTCTGAAAGTAATTGCAACGGTTCTACACACCTTTTGGAGGAAAAGGAACAGTGGCAATTAACATTTCAAATTTTCCACTTTCAGCGGATGAGCAGAAGTTCTACTGATGCCAGATGGCACTATATACCACATTGTGGATTCCCTTGAAACCTTCATAATGCGAGACATACGTTGGTGCTGATAAGGGAAGTAGTTACATATCCACACATCTGGGCCTCAGGCCCGTTTGTGCACGCACGGAATTGAACCGGCACCCTTGGCCACAAGAGCAAAGTCTCTAAACCAAGACAGCCAGGACACGGTGTTGAAAAGTCGAACCGTACTGGTCGTGATATCCACCCCACCCTACCCCTGCCCGGCTGTAGTGTGCAACTCACACACACCACACACAACGCCACACGGATGTGGGAATTCTAGAGGGGGAAGGCCACAATCTCAATGAACACATTAAGCTTCCAGATTTCAAACGAAACGAAAAAAAAAAGCAGACTTGAAGCTCAAATCTACCACACCTTGAAAAGCGGACTTGAATTATACACTAGCTTCACAACAAGTTAAGCACTACCCTTTGGATCTCATCCGACAATCTTTCCGTGTCCATTTCATTGCTTTTTGTGCAGATCATACATCCAAGCTATGGGGAGTTGGTCTTCTTTGAGCACGAATTCAGGTGACCCTTGTTCAATGTGTTGCTAATGAAGCTCATGCATGTAATTGAAGCTTTATGAAACAGTGTGTGTGTGTGTGTGTGTGTGTGTGTGTGTGTGTGTGTGTGTGTGTGTGTGTGTTCACTATACACAACTCCACAAGAAAAGCATGATGGTGCCAGACTGTTTTGTCAGACTTTCACCAACTCATCAGGAGGTTGAACCCCGACGGACCACAGGCGGACCACAAAGAGGATCAGCAACCCTTCTTTTCCCCCCCTTATTTGAACCATTTCTCAATTAATGTGTGTCATTCTTGCACAGGGGCCATGCTCATCTTCTCTGTATCATTCCAATTTTATCGGTTGTCTCAAGGACTTTCACCAACTCATGAGGATGTTGAACCCCGACAGACCACAGACAGACCAGAAAGAGAATCAGCAACCCTTTCTTTTTTTTGTCAAAGAATTGTAACCTTTTATTACGAATTGGAAAAAGGGGGGCAGTGGAATCTGAGGCCTTCCCCCTCTGTCGCTGCTTGTCCTCTTCCATTGGGACGGATGTCAGTTTCCACTAGGTTGTTGAAGATTTCCTGTGCCTTGTGGATGTGCATTTGCCTTCTGTCTACCGTTTGCTGATATCTCCGCTTCCAGATTTTTCACAGGGCATACTGTCTCAGAAGTTGAAATGGAAAGTTTTCCTCTCATAGCCCTGCCAGGTACTTGGTGTTCGAGTTCCCAGCAGCAAGGTCACCAAGTCTTCGGGGAACATGGCCATGACCGTGTCATGGCGTCTGTGAGTTTGGCCCATCATCTTTCACTATCGTTCATATTTGCTCTGCGTTATGACCTTCTAGAAAACAGTGCTTAACAGA